GATTGGGTCTTTGCTCTCTATAGCATTGGTTCTTCTTTGAGCGTTCTTCAAGATACTATCCTCACAACCATCCTTTTGTTTCATCGCCATAACCATAACCATTTCATCCATCTTCCGCTTCCATCTCTCATTTATTAAATAGCCTACCTATTAAACCATACGTTTAGCACCCTTAACCATTCTGTTTTGAGCCATACACTTTGCAGGTTGTTTTGCTTCCTTCCTAGATCCACAATCAAATGAGAAGGTAGAAGTACCTTACATCATATTGTTTTTGCTTGATGACTTCAAACATATTACTTCTTTTCTACTAGTTGCATCAATATTGTCGTAACACCCTTAAAAAGCTTATTTTACTACATCATTTGAGCTTCATGTATTCAAACTTGGTGTACCTTCTTCAACTACTTCCTAGAGCACCCCTCGGGACCACTAATACATTTTTGTAGTTATACTCTACCTCTTCGAGAGACATTGTCGTATTGAAAGACTTCTAATGTGACTATTAACTTGGGAATCAATACCTTCTATGACATGATATGTATGAAACATGTGTTAATTCCAAGGTACTTATCCTATAACAACTTTCAAAGAACTCACAAAGTCCCGGCATGTCAAAGCAGATAAAAAAATATCTACCCATTTGTGTGTCGTTGTCGTTTTAAAAGCCTTCTAATTTGATAATTACCCAGGAATTAACACCAGGTTTATGCACAAAATAAAGAAACATGACAAGGAAAAGATGTTAGTAAAAATAATAATCAAAGAAAGGAAATGTATGGTAGTGAAATATGAAAAGATTAAATTGAACTGGAAATGAACCATAAAAACAGTGAATAAAACACATAGAGGAAATTAAAACCCTAACCGCATAACTTCTAGTTCATATGCATTTATTCAAAAATTATTTATCGAATAAATTAAAATATGAAGGTTAGAGTTCATTTCTCCTTTGTGTACACTTATTTGGGTACCTATGGACATAATTTCATCATGGTCTTAGATCAAGTGGGTTTTTATAGTTTATTATATGTAGATTTTCGGTTCTATGAGTAAATGTACTCGAATTGTCCTTGTTGTTGCCCCCTTGGGTGAGATCCTCGCCCATTATAGGCATAAACAGGTCGATTTCAATTCGAGATAGCACATGTCCCTATGCCTGACACGAAGAATAAATCATCATGAAGAAATAGGGCATATGAACCCTTGAAGCTACTTGCTAGGTCTGACATGGAGAATAAATTCTCATGAAGACGTCGCTTTCACTCCCACTTAAAGTGGAAAGAGCTTGAGTATAGAGCTTATGTTATGCAATACAAGTGTCGTGTGTGAGGAGAAATTCTCAAACCTTTGACAAACAACTACACTAAAATCGAACTAAAACGAATCCAAAATTTTAATATCTGAAAATCAATCAAATACAAACATTAGTATAGAAGGATATAAAATAAAATAATATAATAAAAGAATTGAAAGAAATCAAAAGAATCGTGAATTAAATAAAATTGAATTCTCAATTTTCATCTATAGGGACAATATATAATCGATTTAGGGCTTGACCCTCTAACATCCCCAACAGAGTCTCCAAGCTTTCGTAACTGATTTTCAGTGATATGACGTGTCTCAACTTATTTGTGAAAAAATTGATTTTTGTAAAAGAAATGTTTTGGAGTCGCCATCGACCTTTTCGGTTAAGTAGGTCAAATACCCATAAACCGTCCGTTAAAAGAGTTTTTTAAGAAAACATCATTTTAAAAGATGCACCAATCTACGTGTAACCAGAAATTCATTATTTGTTAGTAATAAAAAAGGGGTTTGGGGGTCGATTACGCGTGGAGAATGATAAGTAACCCATAACTCCCAAAATTGGTACCCGTCGATTATAAATTATCTCTATCAATGGAAATCTAAGAATTCAAATATAAATTTAGGTTACAATCCTGTTATTCCAAATTCAAGACAGAAATTCTAAGGAGAAATAGAAAATATCCTAATATTTCCAATTAAAGAGTAAATAATCCCTAAAATACTTTAGGACGAATATTTCTCTTTTCAACTGAAATAAAAAGAATATAATAATTTCTCCCAAGAACTCGATATTAAAATAATTTGCTTCGATCAAAAGAATTAAGCCAATTTGGACAAATTTAATTAATCACGCTAGATAATGAAAGTTTAAACTAGAATGGCAAAAAATATAAACACAATAAAAAGCAAAGACCCAAAAATAAGTATCACACAAATATAGGTGCTTAAATAAAATCATAAATAACATAAGGATCAAAATGCAAGATAACAAAAATAAGGCATTCAATGTGATAAAAATATTAAACATGCATATATATATATATATATATATATATATATGGGACTAAAATAAAATAAACAGTAAATAAAGTTCAATAATTAAAGGACTAAAATTAAAGTACTAAAAAATGAAGGCAAAAAAAATAAAAGATAGGAAATTAAAGTAATGAAATTAAAGGACTGAAATTAAATAAATAAAAAGTAAAGGGTATAAATTTAAATGTGCGTGAAATTAAAATAATAAAAATAAAAGAGAAATAAAATAAAGTGTTAGTGTTAATTTTTAACATTTAACCCAAACCTTAAATAATGTGATTCGTACCCAAGGACGTGTCGTCGCAAGGTCGTACTATGGTTCGAACATAAAATAAATAAATAAATAAATAAATAAAAATTAACAGTTAGTGGTTAGTGTTAGAAATGTTATGAGAGTCCGGACCATAATAATGTAGGTCGTACCCCAGATCCGGTCACTGCAAGGTCGTATAATAATTCAAACAAATTAATAAAAATTAACAGTTAGGAGTTAACAGAGTCTAGACCATAATAATGTGGATCATGCCCCGGATCGTATCACCACAAGGTCGTATAAACATTTGAATATTAATAAGCAATCATTATTAAAGAATTAGTGATCAGAATAAAATAAAATCAGCAAGCTAACTTAAAAATAAACAGAAAAGCATATATGGTGACTAAAATTGGAACAACACAACATAATGATGTAATCAGAAACAAGCATCAAAATAAGGCTCCTAGTGACTAAAGTGTAAAAAGAAGGCTAAAGTTGGAGGAACTGCGGGTGATTAACTCACGAAATGGTGACCTAAATATAAAAATAAGCTAAAGGTATAGGGACCCTATCATGATTTACCCCTAAGAATGGTAACCAAAACGTAAATATATGCCTAAAGTATGAGGACCTAAGCTTAATTAACCCTTAACTTTGGTGACAAAAACATGAAGTACGCTGGAAATAGGGGACCTGGAGCCTAATTTACCTAAAAATTAAAACTAAAAACCCCTCTTTATTCTTTCCAATAGCACGATGAACCCAAAAAAACCTTTCTTTCATTCTTCTCTTCAAGCACCAAACTCCCCCTTTCATTTTATCTTCTTTCTCTCAACCCCTCTTTCTCCCCAACAATGGCTGGCCGAAACACCCATTTAACGTCGGCCACCAAAAGAGGGTTGCCACCTCCTAGCCAAACGACGACTGCGACCGAGACAAAGCAAAAGTAAAAAATGCTCACTCTCTTCCTCTCTATTTATATTTCCTTGCTACTAATTTTAAACTACATGTAGGGGTGTAAAAAGCTGACTCGGCCTGCAAAACTAACTGAAACCAACTTGAGTCAAAAACTATTTTTAACCTGCGCTGTAGCGATATGAAACCGACTCGAGACGGAACTGGTGTTTATCTGAATCTGAGTTGGACTTTGAAATTATGGATCCGAACCCGACTTGTATCCGACTGATATGAACCCGAAACCGAGATTGACCTGGTAAATAACTGCTATTACCCGACCTGTTTTCAACCTGACCTGTTTTCAACCTGACCTGTTTTTAACTTGACATTTTTTTAACCTGACCTGATATTTACCTGACTTATATATTACCATGGACGAAATTATAAGATTTTAATAAAATTATGAGTTTTTAAGTTTATGATGTAATTAAAAATTAATATAAATACTTTTTAAATGTTATAATAAAATATTTATTATGATAATTAAATTAATAAATAGACCTATTATATAAAATTATTTAAATGTATAATAGATAAAACATGATTAATAATGCAAAGGAAAATTAATATAGTTTAATTTATGTAAAGAAAAAAATATTAATAATGAAAGTATTTATTATGTAATATATATTAACGTTTTACATTATTAATATAAATAATTTTGGCAATACATTAGTTTACATAGACTCAATACATAAACCCACTCTTTTATTACAAATATATATTCATTAGTACTAGTCCATTTATATTAGGGTTTAAGGTTTAACGTTTAGGGTTTAAAGTTTAGGGTTTAGAGTTTATAATTAGGGTTTAAGATTTAGGATAATTTATATACTTTATTACTTTATATAGTTTATGCATAGTAAACTATATAAGTAATTTACTTTATATAGTTTATATATATATTCTTTCATTGGTGCTACTGCTTCGGATAGCAAAAGCCTTCATGTCTTTCATTGGTGCTATCTGTCTATCGTTTACCCTACTATTTCGAAGCCATTTTTATCTTCTTCTCTGTTCCTTGAAATCGTAATCAATATACCCACTTCTCAGATTCATCTTATAAGCTAAGCTCTCAAAGTAAATCGAGCTTGCAGAGATCTTCTTCCCGCTTGGCTATTAGATCGTTTTTCTCCTGTTATTTTCGTTAAATTTTTGCTTTGTCTTAGATCCTTGTTTTGGTAAACATTTTGCAGATTTGGGTGGTTTTCTGTTTGTTTTTTAAGTTTTAAGTGTGTGTGTGTATTTTTAAAGATCTCTCTCTCCTCAACAATTCACAGCCACATCTCCATTAATCTCTCATAATTCCCCATTTCTCTCATGTTTTCCATTTCACATTTATTTAGTTCCTCTTTAAAAATCTTTCCTGGATTCCTTCTTCCCCCTCCAAGTGTTCCCCCTCCATTTGAAAGTTTTATCACTTGTTTTCAATTTTTTTTCAATTATCATAGACGAGAACTATAGTACTCCAGTTCGTTAGATTTGATTGATTATATTTCTCTGATCTGTCTGTTTTCTATTCGAAATCTGTAATATTAGGGTAAAGTTAGGGAAATTCTCCAATATTCATTGGAGTTGCTTGGGCTTTTTGCTTTTTACTTTTTGCAGGTGAACGTTACCGGTAACCACATTAAAGTTCCACAGATTAACCTTCGCCGAAAAATAACCCCGCCGAAAAACAGCAACTACTTCCTACTTGTCGGCCAGGTACATATAATGGTCGGCCAGGTATTAAAACGTTTTATGCTAGTGTTTTACACAATTTACCTTATAATTGTATATAAACCTACTTATTATCATTATTAACCAAATTACTAGCAATAAAATTAGTATTCAATTCAAATTTTTCAAAAAAAAAGGTTTTGAAATTTACAGTAAACATTAGAACGTTTTTCATAAATCAACAATCAATATTATTCTTTTTTCTTCCCTTTTAACACTAGGCTTTAAGCAATTAAAAGTATTCATAAATATTTACCCACGCATAATAATAATAAAATATTATTCTATTTCCCCCTTTTAACACTAGGCTTTTAGCAATAAAAATGACAATAGTATTTTATAAATTAAAATCCTATTAAGTATCCAACTAGGCTTCTTAGTACCCCTCAATTCTCTAGCGTTTTATTGGTGCATCTTCTGTCTTCTTTGGATTCCTTTTTCATAGTTCCTCATAGCTTCGGCTATAGATGATTACTTGAGGTCATGTCCTTCTTTTAGATCCCATAGGGCGTATAGGGGGCGAGCTCGACAGAGTGGTGTCAAGGAGACTAGTCTTAGAGTTTGTATGTTGAGTGTAGGCACTTTAAATGCTAGGCTGCTGGAGCTGACTGACGTACTAAGTAATAGGAAAATAGATTTTGCATGTATTCAAGAGACTAGGTGGAAAGGGGCTCACGCCAGAGAGTGTAACAGGTACAAGTTGTGGTATTCAGGCGTAAATAACGCTAGAAATAGGGTGAGTATCTTGGTATCCTCTAGGCTCAAGGAAAATGTAGTTGAAGTTTATAGATACCGTGATAGGATCATGATGATTAAGGTTATTATAGAAGCGAAAGTGGTGAATGTCCTTTCAGTGTACGCCCCACATATTGGCCTAGGGGAGGGTGAAAAACGTTGCTTCTGGGATTCGTTAGATAATGTACTTAGGATCATTCTGGAGGACCAAAGAGTTTTCATAGGGGGAGACATCAATGGGGGTACGTTGCTTGAATTTTCTACTGCACACGATATAGTGGTCACTAACTCATTCTTTAACAAGAGAGATGTGAACTTGATTATGTTCTATAGCGGGGGACATTGTACCCAAATCGACTACATCCTGGTTCGAAATCGGGATCGATGGGCTTGCATTGATTGTAAGGTGTTCCCTGAAGAAGAATGTGCATCACAACATAGATTTTTGGTTTTGGTGTTCCGCGTACGCCACGGGAGGATCACTCATGGGAGGGCTAAACTAGGTAAACCTAGGATCCTTTGGAAGAACTTACATGGAGCGACAACTGATGACTTTAGGAGTAAGGTTTTGTCTCATATAGGTTTTGGAACTACAAACTCAAATAATACAGATATGTTATGGAAAAATATGGCAAATTCGATCAGAGAAGTGGGCAAAAACACACTTGGGTTGTCGACAGGGAAGGTCAAGTAACATAAAGAATCGTGGTGGTGGAACGACGAAGTCCAAAATAAGGTGATGACAAAGCAAACTTGCTTCAAGGAGTTGCTACAATACAATGACGACGAAGAAAGATCGAGAGCTAAACAAATATACAAGGAGGCAAAGCGGGAAGCTAAGAAAACAGTGGCTAAAGCAAAGGATAAGCATACAAGGAAATGTACAAAAGATTAAACACAAATGAAGGACAAAACGACATCTTCAGGCTTGTAAAATCCAGCGAGAATATGAAAAGGATCTAGGTAGCATTAGGTTTATTAAGGACAACTATGGTGTTCTTTTAGTGAAAGATCATGATATTAAGAGGGTTTGGGGTAGTTACTTCTTTGGCTTATTTAATAACAATGCCTCTCCCTGTAGAGATAGTAACGTTGATGGGTCAGTCGACCATCATACAACGGCTAATGAATGCCATACAAGTAGGATTGGGATTGAGGAAGTCAAAATGACCCTTAGAAAGATGGGGATGGACAAAGCTGTCGGTCCATATCAAATTCCTATCACTGTATGGTTGACCCTAGGAGATGAGGGAGTTAACTGGTTGACTAATATTTTAATATTATTTAAGAGACTGCCAAGATGCCAGAGGAGTGGAGAGAGTCTACGGTGATACAATCTATAAGAATAAAGGAGATTCCCAACGTTATGGTAACTACAGAGGTATTAAACTACTCAGCCATACCATGAAGCTATGGGAAAGAGTGATAGAGGCTAGGTTGAGACAGGTTACTAGGGTTTCGGAAAACCAATTTGGCTTTATGCCAGGCAGGTCGACTAGGAGGGGATTCATCTACTTCGACGGCTTATGGAGAAATATAGGGAAAAAATAGAGATCTTCACATGGCGTTCATTGACCTTGAGAAGGCGTATGATAGCATACCCCGCGATACGATCTGGAAGACCTTGAAAACGAGACGGATCCCAACTTCTTATATCCAGGCGATTCATGATATGTATTGTAGATCTACTACATATGTCAGGACTACAGTTGGTGACACCGAGGCATTCCCGGTGGAAATCGGACTCCACTAGGGTCGGCTCTTAGCCCTTACATCTTCACCTTGATTATGGACGACATCTATTGTGCGACACCAGACGGTGTTCCATGGTGTATGCTTTTCGCTGACGACATTATCCTAGTTGCTGAAATAAAAAATGAGTTGAAGAGTAGACTGACTACCTGGAAGACTGCTTTGGAAGAAAAAGGTCTAAGGATCAATATTGAAAAGACAGAGTATTTATGTTCAAACTTTAGTGGGAACCAAAACAATGAAGATGTAGAAGTATGCATCGAAGGACACGTTCTCCCCTCAAAGGATTGTTTCAAGTACCTAGGGTCTATGATACATAAAGATGGGGGTGTAGATGATGATGTTACACACCGTATAAAGGCGGGATGGCTAAAGTGGAGGGCTGCTACTGGAGTTTTGTGTGACAATAAGGTGCCTCTAAAACGTAAGGGGAAATTTTATAGAATGACAATAAGACCAGTGTTGCTATACGGATCATAATGTTGGGCAATCAAGAAGGATCACGTAAGGAGGATAGAAGCCGCAGAGATGAGAATGCTTCAATGGGCATGTGGTAGGACTTTGTCGGACATGACACCAAACTCTACAATTAGGATGTCATTGGGGGTGGTGCCTGTATCTGAAAAATTGAGGGAGCGAATACTACGGTGGTTTGGGCATGTCCTTAGGCGACAATCGTCGGATGCGGTCAGGAGGGTAGAGTTGATTACAACTGACGGTGCGAGAAGGAGAGGACGACCAAGGAGGAAGTGGGTAGATTGCTTGAGATCTTATTTGAAGGATTTATCCCTTACCGAGGACATGACCTCTGACAGGAAAGTATGGAGACATAAGACCAGGGTAGCCAAGTAGTGTGTGTCACAACCATAGGGTGTAGCATCTTTGTCTACTTTTAATACCTTTGTAGTATTATCCATGACTTCTACTTTTTATAAGTTTATGTCATTGGAAATTATGAAAGCTTAAAACTAGGGTAGCGGAGTAGTGTTGCCTTAGTTTAGGTTTTAACCCATTTGACTTTATTCCTTCTCGTACCTTGCTATCGCTGACTACTATGTATCCTTCTCTTCATGTTTCCTCTTTTTAAATTTAATCGGGACTTACGTTTCTGTCTATATACAGAGATTTTTACGCAGGGATTTATTTGTAGGGATAACTTCTCATTACAGACGCGCATATAAAGACTGCATATGAAGATTGTTCACATATGTATTTATTTATTTATTTATACATGCATTGTATTTTATCTTTATTTTCAAGTTTCTGACTGCCAGAGGTCTTCCACGGAAGCTGCTCTCAATCTAGCGTTGGGGGCAGCCTACTACCCTACCTCCCCCTTACCTCATTGCATATGGGAATAGGGTTTTGTTATTGTTGTTGTTGTTGTATATAAAACATGATTAATTAAGTGTTAAATAATTAGTTTTTTGATCGATTTTAGGGTTTATGATTTAAACCTAATAATTTATTACTTTATTACTACAAATAGGGGTGGGAATAGGTTAGGCCGGCCTACAGGGGCCTACGACCTGGCCTACATAAAGCCTGGCCTGCATTGGCCTATTTAATAAAATGGCTAGGCTCGGGCTTTTTTAAAAGCCTATTAAATTAAATAGATTTGGCTTAGACTTATTAAAAAGTCTTATAAACCTGATAGGTCGGCCTATATATATATATATATACTTGTATTATTTTTTGGGTACTCGTACCAATATATATGTGTCATTGCATTGAACAGAACACAAGGTATAATTAATATATATATTTTTGAAACTAGCAGACTTTGATTACACACTAAATAGACTAAAAGCTCAGTTGAAGAATCGGTGTGTCCGAGAGAAGACAAGAACCGTTAGGACGCACATGGGTTTTTGGGCGCCAATAGCCATTGGATTGGTTCTACTCAGAAGTCTTCACGTGGCACAATGAAAATAATATAGCCCTTGAAATTGTTAACCCCGAAATATACACCCTGGAAACAATGAGTACAAAAGTTCAAAAATAAAATTATAAAAAATGGTCGTATTGGAATTTGGTCTGATTGCAAAGTATGATCATCCAGTAAAATATAAGCTAGTAAAGTTACATTTTTAAACTGTTTTTTTATTGGCGTGGGTAACAACAAAAATAATTAGTATGTCACATTGCATATTATATGGTTCATAAATAGTAGTACATGTCATATTAATTTCATTTGCATAATTAGTATTTTAGTTGCATGTTAGGTTAATTCACATTAATAGCCCATTTATTTTATTGTTAAGTAATAATAAAACACAAAAATAAGTCCATTTGCAATAGTGCTTGTCCATTTACATTAGTTTACATATGTCCAATACATAAGCCCACTCTTTTATTACAAATATATATGCATTAGTGCTAGTCCATTTACATTAAGGTTTATAGTTTATGGTTTAGTGTTTATGATTTAAAGTTTAGGATGTATAGTTTATGATTTAGGGTTTAGGGTTTCTATAAACTATATATTTTATTACTTTATATAGTTTATGCATAGTATTTCTATAAACTATATAAGTAATTTACTTTATATATATATACGTGGTTTATACATACGTATTATATAAAATTATTTAATAAAATTAAAAAATTATTTAAATGTAAATTATATAAAACATGATTAATTAGATGTTAAATAATTAGTATGTCACATTGCATATTATATGGTTCATAAATAGTAGTACATGTCATATTAATTTCATTTGCATAATTAGTATTTTAGTTGCATGTTAGGTTAATTCACATTAATAGCACATTTATTTTGTTGTTATGAATAAGTAATAATAAAACCAAAAAATAAGTCCATTTGCATTAGTGTTTGTCCATTTACATTAGTTTACATAGGCCCAATACATAAACTCACTCTTTTATTACAAATATATATACATTAGTGCTAGTCCATTTACATTAGTGCTAGTCTATTTACATTAGGGTTTATGGTTTAGGGTTTTGTGTTTTGCGTGTATGGTTTAAAGTTTAGGGTTTATAGTTTAAGGTTTAGGGTTTAGGTTTTTTTAATAAACTATATACTTTATTACTTTATATAGTTTATGCATAGTATTTCTATAATATATATATATATATATATATATATATATATATATATATAATCTATAGATTACTTATATTAGTTATACATACATATATATACTATATTAATATAAATTATAATTTATAAACTATATATTTTATATAGTTTATATATATATAGTTTATATACATACATACATACATACATAGAAAATTAAAAGTAATTAGAATGTATACAAGAATAAATTGCATCGAATTGAAAATTCAAGAAGATATTTACAATTAAACCATGACTAAAATGAAAGAAATAAAAAATCAAAAAACAAGTGGAAAAATTATTAGTGTTGGAGGAGCATGAGCCTAATTAACCCAAAATATCATGTTGGACACTATCCTTGGCTCTAACTTCCCAAAATTTTCTATTCCCTCTAAATTTCCCAATTTCCCTCTAAATTCTCAATTTCCCTATATTCTCAAAATTTCTCAATTTCCCTCTAAATTCCCAAATAAAATCAAATTTTTTCACAAAAAAAAATTCTTTCTTTTAAAAAGTTTTCTCACACCACTCACTTTGAATAATATATATATATATATATATATAAATTATAGTTTATAAACTATATACTTTTTATAGTTTATACATATATAGTTTACATATGTAGTTTATATATATAGTTCATATAAACATAATTTATATATATAGCATATAATAATTATATAGTTTATAATATAAATATAGTTTTTATATATAATTATATAAAAACTTATATATATATATATATATATATATATATATATATATATATATATATATATATATATATATATATATATATATATTGTTTTCAATTTTTTAAATAAATGCAATTTTCTATATTTTTCATTATTTATTCACATTTTACATTTATTTCAATTTAATCCTTTTATATTTTTTTAATTTATTTCATTTTTAAGTCTTTCACATTTATATGTATTCAATTTAGTCCTTAAATTTATATTTGCATCTTCATTTGGCCCATTGTTAGTTGTTATTTATATTTTTGTAACTAGCCCATAACTTTAAATGTGTTTAATTTAGTCATTTTATATTAATTTAAACCTCAAATTTTAAATTTATTTCGATTTAGTCCCTTACCTATGTGTATTGTTTAATTTATATTTTAAAATTTTATTTGTAATTTTTCATTTCTTCAATTTTGTCCTTAAATTTATATTTTTTACAAAACTAATCCATGAATATTTATTTTTGTCTTAATTTACTCGAAATCATATACAATTACAACTTGCAATTCAACAATCACGAAAGATGACAAAATAATTAATCTAAAAATAGAAACAACCCGACCTGAACTCAATCCGTATCCGGTAAACATCCGACCTGATTTTTATCTGTCAATGATGTGACCCGATCTGAACGAGATCCGACTGAAGTCCACCCGAACCTGAATTTACCTGTTCTTTATCTGCTTCGGACCTGAACTGTTTTGACCTGAACTGACACAATCCGAACTGAAAATGACCTGACCTGAACCCGATCTGGATCTGGTGTCAAATCAACCTGAGTTGACTTGTATCCGATTTTACCCGACCTGCCAAGATCTGATTGAAACCTATCCGATTCTCTGATTTTACAACCTTAACTACATGTATACATAGAAAATAAAAGAAAAAGGAAAATGGAAGCAAATTCAAACGAACATTTGCAAAAAATCTAGAACCTCTCTTTTTTTTTTACTTTTTTCCCGAAAAATATCCCCTTCAAGTTCTATTTTGGGGTTTTTTTTATAGAATCCCTTACATGTGTGAAAAATAAAAAATAAATTATTTGGTGCAGCTGGCCTGGAAGGTTGCTGGCGATTGGTGATGACATGTGGTGTTGGTTATGGCAGGGCGGTATGGGTTGCTTTCATGATGATTTTTTTATTAATAATAATAACAATAAAATAAAATGTTTGGGGTAAAAATTGGTGGTTACAAAGTTCATAATCAAAGTTATATTATTTGATATTGATTTAAAATTTGCATAGATTTGATGCATAGCCTAATCTACGAGTCATGTGAGATGCTTAAAAAGAAAATACGACATTAGCTCAATGCCATTAGTAAAAGGACAGTGTTGCTATATGTATTTAAACATACGCAAACTAATTTACTTCAGTGGTTAAAGGAATCGTTGTTGTTCTTAGAAGTCATGAGTTCAAGCACCAACGATTGCAAGGGTGATTGAACGTTCATTGTCAAATAGTTGAGAGTATTTAAAATATATATTAATTTGTAGTCTCCTATTTAGCTTAATAAAAAAAATTGTCATCAAACATAATACAACTATGACGAGCCAAATAAATTTGGCTAATTACTTCTCTTCCGAATATCTTGTTGTAAAATCATGAGATTATTTTACCTTTTCATATTCAATGGGACCTGCTTTCCTTGAAAACCACAAGATAAGTTCCATTTCCCCATCTAATCAATCATCATCAAACTTTTTTATAGTTACAAAATGAAAAGAAAACTTGAAGAGGATTGTAACTCTAATAATGAACAAACCCCTTCAAATATGATACACTTGCTATAAATATTTCTCAATCGGTTATATGTTAAAGGGTAAACAAGCCATTATAAATAATCGACACCGTAAACATAGAATTTTCGTATGCCATTTTGACATTGGTACTATCAAAGAGTATCGATACTATAGGATTGACTATTGGTACCCTCTACTTGATATCGATACTCCCTACTTTAAAGTTAAAGTCAAAGTTTGACATTTAAATTATTAGTGAGATTAAGGGGATGACTTGAAACAAAAGACCTAGCCTAAATAGAGACATGCATGTACTAATGCGTTAACTGAGAATTCTGAAGAATTCTGAAAATGAAATTGAGCAATGAAATAATAAGGTATAAGCTACGTCAAGTCCAATAACGCGTTAACTGAGAAATGGAAATTCTTAAAGCTCGAACGCATTAAGTTACTAAAAACTAATACTCCCAAGTATAATGTTCTAGAGAACGAGCCACAAATTGATATGAGAGAAAGTGTTCATGTCGAGACGTTTCTTTGCCCTAGCGACGGAGAGTGTAAATAGTACACCCCAGACGGTGTAACTAGTCTCGAAAAAGTAAGTGCTTATCTTCCATGAATCAAATGAAACATCAAGTTGTAGAGTCGCCACCGATATTTTTATATGGTGATATTGGTCACCAAAATTTTATATTATTTTAATAAAAATTCCTAAGAATAATATTAAAATAATACAACTCGGGTCTGCTTTACCAGACAAATGAGTTCGGAAGTCTGTTACGTATGGGGAAGGATTAGCACCCCAAAACGCCCAAAATTAGTATCGTTATTTATTAATTAGTGTCTTTGCAGTAAATTATAAACTTGTATTTATAAATATCAAGTAATACTTAATATAAATATTACTAGTCCTATTATAATATTTAATATCAAAACTATATAGATTATATTTAAAATTAACCTAATATACAAAAGTACTGTAATAATTAATCCTATAATAATAAATAGTGATTAAAAAATAAAATAGTAAAATTAACTAACCTAATTTGAAATAATATCAAAATTATATGATTAATTAGATAATTTACCCTAATTACTAATATACGATTAAAATGAAACTTATTAATATTTAAGGACTAAACATGTGATTTACCTATATATATATATATATATATATATATATATATATATATATGGCTAAAATAATAATAATTAAAATTGAAAAGGCGAATTAAAAGGGGTAAAAACATGTTTCGTGACTAAAATGGAATGCTTACAAAACCAGGAGGAGTGCGGATATAATTTACCCATCCCCTATTTACACAGAAACCCCTCTCTTAAAACAACACCGTATAGGAGAGGGTTTATATTGCCCAAGTTTGACCCTTAAGAGCCAAGTGCTCTTATTTCTCTCGTCTCCCTCTCTCTCTAAACCGAGAGATGCTCTGGCATCTCTCTAAAAACCCTCGCCTGAGAGAGACCGGTCACCGGTTGGCCGTCGAGTGCCGCTGTCAAACACCACCACCGGTCGCCACCCATGGTGGCTAAAAAATACAAAAACTTCCCAAAATGTAGACCTGAACGTCCTCTACCCAAATATGACCTCTATTTTACCTAAAAGCCTCATGATAACCCTAAATCTAAATAAAACAAAAGTTTTACCTCGGTTTCAACTCAAATCTTTGGCGTTTTGGCTTCCGGCGAGGTAAAATATCTCAACTTATTCTCTTTATTTAATGCTTTTGTCGCTGTTTCTGTGTTGGCTTGTGGATATTTGTGTTGCTCTCCTCTCTTGCTGTATGTTCTTTCTTGCTGCCTTTGTCTCTTTGTTTGCAGGTGATGGTCGCCTTTTAAAGGCTTCCATAGTGCTTCCTTCGGACCGGTCACAAGGGTGCCCTTCAGTGAGTCACCGAAGCTACAGTGGTGACTCACCCTAGGGTTGCGACGTGTGCGGCTGGTGTTGATCTTCTAGAGCCTTCTGGTGAGATGACGACGGCATGGCAATCTTCAGTTGGAATAGTGGAGGCGATGACCGAACAGTGGCCCTAGGGTTTTGATACCCTATGGTTTCTACTGGCTGGCTATGAACCTTTAGATCTTCATCTGGATTGGACAGCTACGGCGTGCTGGCGGCTGGAGATGATAAGCAGACGCGGGCCTGTTTTATACAGGTCTGGCTCGGGTTGTTGGGCCTAGATAAGATCTGTTGGTTTGAGTCTGGATCGGTCTCGGGTTTGGCTTGGGTTAAACTTGTAATCGGGCTCCCGAGTTATCAATTGGGCCTCCAAATTTGTAAATGGGCCTTCGGGCTACATAAATAATAATATTTATAATATAATATTATTATATATATATAATAACGTATATAATACATGTCACTCGGACGAAAACGACTATCGACAACTGCCCCTCTTTGCTTATTTTTATGTAAACAAGAATAAAGAAAAGATAAAAAGACAAGTTTTCGCCGAGTGAACTTCTTGTTTTGTTGGGAATTCGTTCCACTACTCTTTCTTGGAGATTGAATTTTAATTTGATCATGCTCTTGATTCACTACTCTTGTGTGAAGGATGAGGATGACTTGCAAATTATTTGCTTCACTACTCTTTCGTGAATGCTGAATTTGCATGACTTCATTATTCTTTCATGAAGGCTTCATACTTTGCAGAAAAAAATCCGTTCCACTACTCTTCCGTGGAGAGCGAATTTTGATCTTGTTCTTGCTCTTGCTGCACTACTCTTCTGTGAAGATTGATCTGGAATGACTTGAATAGAATCTGTTTCACTACTCTTAAGTGAACTTCAGACTCAAACTTGGATTACTTCACTACTCTTCCGTGAAGTTCTCATACTTTGCTGACAAATCTGTTCCACTACTCTTCCATGGAGTTCAGATTTGGAATGACTTGAACATAATCTGTTTCACTACTCTTCCGTGAAGTTCAGACTCAAACTTGGATTAATCCACTACTCTTCCGTGAAGTTCTCATACTTTGCTGAAAAATTTGTTCCACTACTCTTCCCTGGAGAGCGAATTTTGATCTTGTTCTTGCTCTTGCTTCACTACTCTTCCGCGAAGACTAAAAATGATTGACTTGAGAAAAATCTAATTTATCTACTCTTATGTGAATATCAGATTGATTTGATTCCACTACTCTTTCGTGGAGGTTTCATAAATGACTTTAAGGATTCACCATCTTGTTTGAAAGACATACAGATGACCCGAAGGCTTTACAAATGACCCTAAGGCTTTACAAATGACCCGGAGGCTTTACAAATGACCTGGAGGCTTTACAAATAACCCGAAGGCTTTACAAATGACCTGAAGGCTTTAATTTTCTAGAACATTAAATGAGAAACTTTGAAAATGGCTTTCTCATTTTCTTGTGAAAACATCCTACCCTGAGGTTTTACAAATGACCCGGAGACTTTATATATTACCTGAAGGTTTTGATTTTCTAGAACATTAAATGAGAAACTTTAAAAATGGATTTCTCATTTTCATGCAAAAACATCATACCCTGAGGTTTTACAGATGACCTGGAGGCTTTATAAATTCATGGAAATAATTTACTGGGTAAGAAACTTCTTACTTTTCAACAATTTCATTTTTAGCAAAGATTAAATGAGAAACGTTGAAAATCGTATTCTCATTTTTCAAAACAACTTGTTGGTTGTGAATGCCCCAATACTTTTTCTGTGTGGATTGCATTCATCTATTCATCAGATGTTTACCTCTCCAAACATGACTCCTGTGATTTGGATTCTACCTTATACTCGTAAGGTATTTGTCCCTGTATCTTTCTCATAAAAATGTATTTATATAAATTAAATGAAATGCATGATCCTTATGCAAATAATATTCTTACAAATGTATGTATGCAAAATATCGGTTCAATCCTCAATTGACTCCAAAGTTCGCTTTCTTCCACTCAATTATTCCTTTTCACTTCTGAATAACCATCTGGTCAACTTGTATCTTGATATCTTTTTTTATTTTCAGAAGAACTGTGTCATTTATGGGACTCTTGCCATACTTGAAATTATGACCTTGTTGCCCTACTTTTCTTGATAACACCAGCTGTCTTTACCTGAACTTGCGTAGAAATCCGGTAAAGCTTTTGTCTTTGAAAAGAGAATATATCATCTTTGAAAAGAGAATCTATCATCCTTCAGAATATAGCTATGAATATGCCAAATTCAACAGAGATTAATCAGGATGTCAGCCATGTATGTTCTGATTTGACTCTTGAAACATATCATATGAAGGATTTATCCTAATTCCTTTCATGCCTCAATATATCTTGAAATAACTCATAAGAGGATTTATCCTAATTCCTTTCATGTCTCCATATTTAATCAGATCTTGAACAAGGTTCTTCAAACCATAACCCATCGTTCAATCTTAGTTGGTTCCACTAGTTTCTTGTTGTTAAAGTTCCAACATTTCTTCATGGAAATAAATCTTCATCATTTCTAATTTTTGACCTTTGGAGTGTGAAGAAAAACTTCCTCTTTTATCAATAGATAGAATTCCCCATGATCGTAACATTGGTTCAGCACCATAATTACTGGTTCGTAAAACATTCGGCAACATATTCATCATTTCCTATGGCTTCTGTGGGGATGATGTAATCGCATGGTGGACAAAACAGTGATGTATAGTCAACTCGATGGTCACCATTTTACCATTTTCATTCTTCATACCTTTTTGTTTTAGGAGAATGATTTTTCCTTAGAATGATAACGGTTCAGCATGCCCTAGCATTTTTCTAATACAAATGCTAATGATGTGATTGTTTGGAATACCCGGTTGGATCATTTTTGTCTTAAAAGGGCCTTCATCATTCCCCAACATTCTAAGTTGTAAGGTTCACTCTTAATGTCCGTTAATGCTTCTCATGAGGTCTAATTTTGTTAATGCCCCCTTATAGGTATACATGTGGCTTCCTTGATGCAAAATCTTGTAATCTTGAATGCTCTCATTCCAATGTTACTAAACAACAATGTTCTTAAGTAATTTTAGGGATTCTCTTCATGTTATCACAAACTTAAGAGATGATCAATCCTTCTGACAGAAATGTTTGAGATATGTACCTCTTCCAAATAAGGTAATCACCTTCTTCTTGACTGTTTGCCCCAAAGGGAATGGTATAAGTTTGGTTCTTCAAATTTTTGATTTCTCATGCCACTTACTTTCAAGAATATGAAATGTTTCATTATTCTAGCCTTGCTCATTTTTTCAATGAGGGAATAATCAACTTGACTCAAGATTCTTTCTCATTTGAGACCATCCTGTTTGAAAATGTTCTTCCTCATTTCTTATCAAAGAATAAAATAATTTTGTAAAATATTGCATCTTACAGGTTCACAATAGAATCATATCATAAGCATGAGTTCAAAGAATATCAAAAGAATCAACCACTTTTACTATTTCAGAGTTATAGTTCTTTGACAAGTATCAAGATTGATAGGTTAGTTTTAGGTTGGCTTCCCTATTTTCTATGGTTATATGTCAGTGAATATGTTACTTCTCTCTCGTTCTTTTGTGAACATTGCCACATGCCTCACTTTCTTTGACTTGGTATCTTTAACTGGATGCGTACAAAATGACACAATTTAACATAATAGTTACTAAACCTTTTGGAGTACCTCCATTTTAATTCTCTGAAATCTTTTATTTTATTCAAAGTAGTGTGAAAACATCGATCTAATAAAGAGATTCCTTTGTGCACATGTGTAAAATATACTATAACATGTATTATTTAGGATGAATTTTTCTTTCACAACCTTTTACAATTTTTGGCTAGTTGAATTCAACTTTATTGACATTAGCCTTTATTGGGGTAATTACATATATGACTCTTACTTTTTAAAAGGACTTGTTATAGTCTATGTGTTTAGTGAAAATTAGAAAATCTCATTACCAAACTTCAAGTTCCGAGCAACCAACTTTAGACTAGATTTGTCAAAGTTTCATCGTCGAACCTCATCAATAGAAAAGTAATCTAGCTAGCTTTGCAATGTCACAAAAGATGCCCCACGTTGTATGCTTCTAAATATCAATACCAAGCCTTTTGCCTAATTCCTCACATTGGAGAAGGCTCTCTCATTTTTCTGGGAAGGTAGTATTTAGGATACATTTCTTATGAGGTAAGGTCAGAGTCATTTTTTTATGGTATTCAATCTTGATACTTTTCCAAAAATGTATAACTCTAATTGTAAAGAGCTTTTAATCTAATGATACTCAAAGAATTGCAATATTGCAAAATTGATTAAATACTCATAACCTTAAAAACAACAGATTTTTATTACAAAAGAGGAGAAAGGAACAGGAACATATTTAAACAAGATGCTACAAAATAAAAAGTACAATAGTGGTAAATAACAACTTCCACTGCCCCATTATTCTTTGGATATTGGGTGTGTAATCATACCAGGATTTTTGTCGATATTTGACCCCCATTTCTTGATAATTTCTTGGGTAGCTTCTTTGGATGAGCTTTTAGGTACAAAAATCTCATCTTTCTCCTGAACTATTTCTTGATCAAATCCTACCATTATCTTTTCTGACTGGCAACTGGGCTCAGTTTGAATTTAAGAACAAATCTCTTTAGTGGCGATTGTTGTATCCTGATTCTGGATGTTTTTTTTGCAGCTATACTTAGAGTAGCATTCACTAAATTGCCCTCTGTTTCTCTTGATTTCAAAAGAACTGATATGGGTATCTCAAGGTTGTATCTACCTTGTTTCTTTTTAAACCTGTAGGCCAGTCTTAGATTACCTTTCATTTTGCTTTTTCATTTCTTATTCTTGCATCACCTTTTAGCTTGAGAGAAGTATCGAGAGTTAAATCTATCATACATACTTCATTTTTCTTAGCTTCGCCTTGTCCTTCATTTGTTTTGACACTATCAACTTCATTCTTGGGGTTAACTCCCAAATGTTTAATCACAATGGATTGATCGTTGGCATCCACTTCTATAATTACATGAGTCAGAATATCTTGAACTCTTCGTTTGAATTTGCCACAATTTTCAATGGAGTGTCATCGGATTCCAGCATAATATTCACAAAAAACCTTTTTATTATACCATTTTGGGTAAGGAGGTATCAAAGGTTTAACCAGACATAGAGCAATAAGCTGGACTTTGTGTAATTTGGCATATAACTTGCTGCATGAGATTGAAGGAAAACATGGTAGAGATTCCCTTGATATGATCGTTTCTTTGCTATTGCTTTCCTGAAAATGTTTGCTTTGAATGTCTGACTTTTGACTATCATCTTGAGAGAGGTGATGACTTGAAAATTTCTCTTTCTCAATCATCTTTGAGTTTCTGAGGAGCTTAGGTTTCCCATTTTCGAAACATAATAACCTTTCTACCATAGGGTCTTGGACTTTTAATTTCAGCATTATGCAACTTTCTGTAGAATGACCAAAATCTCCAGAATGATAATTGCATGGATTCTTGATATTTTTCCAATTTGGATGCAAATAAGTACTATGAGGGATGGGTGTCACAAGACCACTTTCAAAAAGAAATGATAACAACTCTGAATATGAAATTGGAATTGGAAAGAGATGTGTTATCATTTTTCCTTCTTGCCATTTTTATCCATTTTCAATGGGACTTGTTCCATGTTTCTTTTCTTTGAACCAACTTTGATGTCCATGTTATCTGTATATTTCTTGATTCGTGAAAATGAGTTGGATTTCTATATTCAACAAGTTCTTGGTCATTTTTCCTCGAACATTTTATCCCCATATTGTAGAGTAACCATCATACTCATCATTTTAGACATCTGTTCCCTGGACTCAGCTTGGAACCTTCTTGTTTCTTCAAGCATTTCTTATTGGATTTCCGCAAGTTATTGTATTCTCTCAATCCTTCCAACTCGAACTAATATTCCATTCATTGATTTCAATCCCTTTTTTAAAACCCGCCCCTGACTTTTAGAACTCCTGATTCCAAAATCTTTCACTGATTACTCCCATACTTTCATGATTAACACATGTTATTATGCTATACAAAATATGAATGTATATATGAATGTAAATGTATGAAAGGTGTAATTCAAGAGTAATTATCTTAAAACAATTTTATTAAACATAAAAAGGGGTTTTCCATACATCCAAATGATCATTACATATAAGGGATAACTTTCCCTCCTAATTTCTCTATCTCCTTAAAAATCCAAGTTAATTTCCATTCACACTCAGAAGTTGATTTTCCATTTTTATTCAGCTCCCTTGTAAAAGCAACTAAGTCCACCAGCTTGTGGGCTACCTTGCTTGCTTGAGCAGCAGCTTTCTTCATGTCATCTTCTTTTTCTTAAATCTTACTTGCCATTTCCTGAATTTGTAAACAATGCTGCTCATTTTCTTTTATCAGAGAACCTTTATGTTTGAGAAGTTCTTGTACCAAATCTCCATATTCATCCACCATTTTCATTAATGTGTGGTTATGAGATCTAGTGGATTTTAATTCAGTATTAATCTCACATTGATGAATCAGATATAAAGTTTCCATGTTGTCTACATCCTTCTTCAATATCTGGTTTTCAGCTTGACATTTTTCCAAATTTTTTATTGCTGCATTGTATATGTCTTCAGCAATTTGAAAGTCATATGAGAATTTCTTTGCTTGATCCTCATGTATCTTTTTCAATAGCCAGCATCATTCTTTTGTTTAATGATTTCTGCTATCCATTCTTCTGGGACATTTCCTAGTCCAACATCTTTCAAGGTTTGACTGACTTTTCGGAAATCATCAAGCATGGCTTCAACCTCTGTGCTCAATTTCTTGTTTTCATCTGTCCAAAAATGGGCTTGAGCTTTATAAAAATTATCTCCCTTGTGACTGCTTCTATTGATACTTTTACTATAAAAAGCTTTCGGTATCAGTCTAACAGGATTTTTATGTGCATATCCCTCCATGATTTTAAAAGCTTCTTCAAGATACCATTCTTTAGTTGCTCCATAGTTGACTTGATCATGAAACCCTTTGTCCATAATGAAAGACTTTGATTTTGATAATCACTCTTGAATCAACAACCTTGAGTATGTTATGATTATGCAAATGCAAACAGAACAATTAATGTATGCATTTTCAGAATATATACAAAAATTGTTTAGTAAGGAAAATCATATCATAACATCATGCTTTCTAGTTCCATGCTTTATTTAGAAAAATAACCTAACCACGTGATTTCTAGTTCGCATGTATTTATTCAGAAAATAAGATAATATTAAAAAAAACTCAACAAGCTTTTCCTTGTGTACTTAATTTTACAAGACTCAATCAGGTAAGGCTCCACCTAAACTTAAGGTCAACGAATTGTCCTTTTTTGGTGTCCTCTTGGACTGCCAAGCCCTCAATCCTAGTCCATTACAGACTTTCGGATTAAGTTCAATTTGAAGGAGCATACTTCCTTATGTCCATACGGAGGTGAAAACCACATGATGAACATAAGGTGTGAGCTCAAAGAATGGTCCCCTATCCCATACGGAGGTGAAAGCCACACGAGGGAGTAGTTTCTCATTCACTTAAACAGTATAAGAGTGGGGTTTTAGCTCATGTCATGAATGTAGTGCACAGTGGGTGAGGAAAAACATAAAATAAAATTAATACAATCCTATTATTCTATTCTAATGACTTAAAATTAAATCTGTAAACAAAAAAAGCAAAAGTTAGTAAAATAATTAAAATTAATTAAAACAAAATTAAAACAAATTTATTATTTACTGAAAAGATGAATAATTAATAAATTGGTGGATGGACTCTCATTTTTTTTAAAAAAAAAACGTTTCTCTGCCCTGGAGACAGAGAGTGCAAATAGTACACCCCAGACGGTGTAACTAGTCTCGAAAAAATAAGTGCTTATCTTCCATGAATCATATGAAACACCAAGTTGTAGAGTCGCCACCAAATTTTTTATATGGTGAGATTGGTCACCGAAATGTTATATTATTTTAATAAAAATTCATAAGAATAATATTAAAATAATAAAACTCGAGTCTGTTTTACGAGAAAAAAGAGTTCGGGAGTCGATTACGTATGGGGAAGGATTAGCACCCCAAAACGCCCAAAATTGACACCGTTATTTATTAATTAGTGTCTTTGCAGTAAATTATAAACTTGTATTTATAAATATAAAGTAATATTTAATATAAATATTACTAGTCCTATTATAATATTTAATATTAAAACTATATATATTATATTTAAAATTAACCTAATATACAAAAGTACTGTAATAATTAATCCTGTAATAATAAATAGTGATTAAAAATAAAATAGTAAAATTAACTAACCTAATTTGAAATAATATCAAAATTATATGCTTAATTAGATAATTTACCCTAATTCCTAATATAGGATTAAAATGAAACTTATTAATATTTAAGAACTAAACATGTGATTTAACTTAAATATATGTATATATGGCTAAAATAATAATAATTAAAACTGAAAAGCCGAATTAAAAGGGGTAAAAACCTGTTTCATGAGAAAAATGGAATGCTTGCAAAACCAGGAGGAGTGCGGATGTAATTTACCCATCCCCCTATTTATACATAAACCTCTCTCCCAAAACGATGTCGTATGGGAGAGGGTATATATGGCCCAAGTTTGGCCCTAAAGAGCCAAGTACTCTCATTTCTCTCATCTCCCTCTCTCTAAACCAAGAGACGCTCTGGAATCTCTCTAAAAACCCTCGCTTGAGAGAGACCGTTCACCGGTCAGTCGTCGAGTTCCGCCATCAACCACCACCACCAGCAACTACCCATTGTGGCCGAAAAATATGAAAACTTCCCAAAATATAGATCTGAACCTCCTCTACTCAAATCCGACCTCTATTTT